CTTCGAAGTCTGGAAATTCCAAAATGATGTCTCGTTCACGGTTGTCCTCATGGTGCCGTTGGTGGTGTTCCCTTCTCCGGTGAAGAGAGTGAGAACCATCTTTTCAACTTGGACTTCTTCTTCTTTTAGGGCTTCTTCTATTCTCCAAGACTTAAGAAGACTATCAAACTTCTTTTCTAGAGCATCTAATCTTGAGTATCTATCATCCATGTTTCAAGATGGAAATTTTGTATCATTGAGAGAGAAAAGTTCAAATTTTGTGGGAATAAAGATGAGATCTTTTGAGAGGGGGGAAGAGAGATTAAAAAAGGTAGGATCTTTCTAGGCTAATAAACTAGGATCTTGATACCAAATTGATATGAAATAACCAACAAAACAAAGAAAAGAGGGTAATATCAACTAACAACAATTTCAAAGCAACAACACGAGATAAACCTATCTCAAAAATCACTAAGATCTATGAAATAGGGGTTCTTTATCAAAGCCAACACCAAGTAAAGCTATGATTAAGATGTAACCACAAAGATTACAAAATAGCAATCACAAAGAAAGCAAATCATCACCAAGATTATGGGTAGAGAGAGAAAATCTCATTGGATACAAAATTAGGCAAAAGTTGTTCTAAAAAGCAAGCTTAGCCCTATTTAAAGGCTTTACAAACAAACCCTAAAGTTCTTAAATTACACCCCTTGGATTATAAATGAAAGGGCAAGTTTAAAGCAAGCTATAAAAAACAAAAAAAGAAAGAACAAAGCGCTACAAAATAGGGGTCTTAGAGCGCAGGTCTTAGAGCGGTCGCTCTAATGGGTTGGAGCAGTCGCTCCTCTCGAACGGAGCGGTCGCTCCAAAGATTCTGCCAAAAATCCCAATTTCGGATGGAGCGGTCACTTCAAAAGGCAGAGCGATCGCTCGAAAGGGTGGAGCGGTCACTCTAATGGTTGGAGCGGACGCTTTAGCGGTTCTACCTGCACAACTCATTTTCAAATGCTCATAACTTCTTCTTTTCTTGCTCAAATTGAGCATAATACTTGTCGTTGGAAAGATCTTGGACTCTATTTTCATCTCCAATTTGAATCACTTGAAAATTCTTTGTAATGAAGAAGATATGGCTATTTGAACTTGAGTGTTGTATTTTTCATCATGTAAAAGCTTTTCTTTCTTATCCTTGTTTCCATGCTTCATCTTCAACCATCAATTGTAAAATTAAGACACAAGGATCACCTTTATTCACCTAAGCAACGTTATAAGATAAGGAATATACCCGAAAAGTAGATTGGAGCCATAAATGCCATTAAACTGGTCATATAGCCAAATAACCTAAAGGTTTCAAGGACGCTCTTGCATCAAAGGTAGGATCGTTCTAGGAAAATAACCTAGGCTCTGATACCAAATTGATAAAATAACAAACAAAAACCCAATTTCAACCAAACTTTAATGATCAAGATGCAATTTGAGAGAGAACAAATAAAAAAGATAAATTCTTATCACATCAACCAACAAGTTTGATGCAACAAGGGTTTAATCAAAGCCTAACACAAAGTACAACAAAGATTAGAGAAGAAATCACATAGATTTCAATAATAAAAAAGATTATGGGTAGAGAGATTCAAAAGTTAGAATCTTTCTAGGCTAATAACTTAGGCTCTTGATACGAAATTGATATGAAACAACCAACAAAAAGAGGGGAAAATCAATTAACAACAATTTCAAAGCAACAACACAATATAAACCTATCTCAACAATCACTAAGATCTATGAAATAGAGGTTCTTAATCAAAGCCAACACAAAGTAAAGCTAGGATTAAAGTGTAATCACAAATATTACAAAGTAGCAATCACAAAGAAAGCAAATAATCACCAAGATTAAGGAGAGAGAAAATCTCATTGATTTCAAAATTAAGCAAAAGTTTTTCTAAACAACAAACTTAACCCTATAGATAGGGTTTTACAAACAAAACCTAGAGTTCTTGAATTACAACCCTTGGATTACAAAAGAAAGATAAGAAAAGCAAAAGAAAGATCAAAAGTCGCTACGAAATAGGGGGTGTAGAGCGGTCGCTCTAATGGGTTGGAGTGGTCACTCCTATCGAACAGAGTGGTCGCTCCAAAGATGGGAGTGGTCACTCCAAAGCTTCTGCCAAAAATCCCAATTCCGGATGGAGCGGTCGCTCCAAAGATTTTGCCAAAAATCTCAATTCTGGATGGAGCGGTCGCTCCAGTGGTTCTAACTAGACAACTCGATTTCAAACGCACATAACTTCTTCATTTCTCGCTCAAATCGGGCATGTAACCTGTCGTTGGAAAGCTCTTGGACTCTACTTTCATCTCCAATTTGAATCACCTGAAATTCCTTATAACGAAGAAGATATGGCTAATTGAATTTAAGTATTGCATTTTTTATCAAATAAAAGATTTTCTTTCTCATCCTTGTTCCCATGCTTCATCTTCAACCATCAATTGTAAAATTAAGACACAATGATCACTTTTATTCACCTAAGTCACGTTATAAGATAAGGAATATATCCAAAAAGTAGATTGGAGCCATAAATTCCACTAAACGAGTCATATAGCCATATAAACCGTAGGTTTCAAGGACGTTCCCGCATCACTTGGGCTCTTGGTTGCCATTGATGTCGTCCATAAAATCTTCAATGGAGAAGAAGGAAAAGCTCACCTTCAATGGGGAAACGATGGAGAACAGAAACACCTACCCTTTGGGGATTACCATGCCCCTTATTTTTTCCTTTTTTCTTAGTTTTTTCTTTAATTCGGTGGCGAAGCCGAGCCGCCAAAAATGATTGTGCGATGTGTTGTTGGTGGTTGTAGTTGTGATGTTGGTGATGGAGAAATTGTCTTGGAGGAAGCAGATGATGAAAGGGGGTGGGAGGAAGAAAATGAAGAATAAGAAATTAGGTGGGAGGAAGAAAGGATGAAGAAGATGAACAATTGAATGTGGATAACGAACATTAAGCACAAAAACATCAGTCCACGTGGAAACTATAGTATATATATTGTTTTAAATTCAATTTTACGATTTTTAAAGCTAAATAATAACAAAAGTGTCATTTGATAAATATTTCTGGTTAATCTTGGAGATCAACTGAGGCTTTCTCTGAAAATAACTACCCTGTTTCAAAAAAAAAATTATAAAACTACTAAGTTTTTTCTAAAAATTCTTTAACACTGCCTTATATAATTTTCTGTCCAAAACCTTAACGGTGCACGTTAAAGGGCCCCACCTATTTGACTTCCCAAAAAAAATGTCACGTGAAATTCCCTTTATACCTTCATTTAATCTCATCATTCATCTTAAATGCCTTAATCACCATTTTCACCACACAAAAGCTTCTCCAATTTTACCATTATTTCTCCCAATATTTCTCTCACATTCTTTCTTAATTCTTTTTTATACATCATTCTCAACTTGATGTAAACGTTTATTATGCTCACTATCACTACAACATCACGTTGGAGTTGAGGTGGTTGTAAATAGACAAATAGGTGGGGCCATATGACATGCTCCATTAAGTTTTTGGACAGAAATGGTATAAGGTAGTGTTACCAAAACTTTTGGAAGAAACTTGGTAGTTTTTTTTAAAAAAGTTTGAAACATGATAGTTATTATCATAACTGGCTATATATTAAGTACTTCCTCTGTTTTTTACATGACCTATTAGTTTTAGGCACACATAACAAGAAAGGGTGGTAAATAATGTCAAAAGACAAATGTACCCTTGCCCACTATCTCTACCAACTAATCCTTACCCAGTTTCCATTACTGAAATCACCGCCACAACCACCTACGTCATCGGGTTTGCTACCACAACCACCATCCAAACCTCTAAAAAAATAGTTTTTGGCGTCCACATCACTACCAAGTGCCAAATTAAAGTAGACAAGACCCACCCCTCAACAAATCAACAACCACCACTGTCCATACCACCAGATCTGCATACTTGAGCAAATTAACAAGAGAAAAGTGAAAATACCCACACCACCAACCATCGTCACATACTTGAGCAAATTTTTAAGAAGTGAGAGCTAGTGGGTTGAATTTGACTATGGTGGTTTTAGATCTGGAATAACCGCCCAAATTCGACCACCATGGTTTCGATTCTGATAAACTTAACACTTCTAGAGAGTCGAGGCTTGTGCGGTGAAGATGAGAGGGGTGACTTGTGCGGGGAGGAGATTCGTCGGTGACGCCGCGAAGGTGGAGGTGACTAGAGAAGGTGACTTGTGCGGAGAGGAGAGTCGCTGAATACGCCGCAAAGGTGGAGGTGACGAGAGAGGGTGGTGATTGATGTTTGGCAATGTTTGAATAATAAGGGTGGTGGTGACGGTGGTTTCCATGGATAACTTGGAGGAGGAAAGGTGGTTTCAAAAACTATGGGTTTTGGTGAGTGACTAAGGTGAGAGAGGATGGAAGGTAATAAGAATATGGTGGGTTAATGATGTTCAAAAGGTGAGGGTAAATAAGTAAAAGTGTATTGTTAAAGTTGCTAAATAAGGAAACAAGCCAAGTAAAAAGAAACTTCCCAAAAGGAATACAATCAAGTAATAAAGAACGGAGGAAGTAGTTATTAACAAAATTTCCTTATTTTTATTAAATATTATTATTTTAAGGTGAACTGAGCCTTAGTGATATAAAAATAATTCACACACCAAAAATCTTATGTAGAGTTGAAGGAAACGTAGATAGAGAGAAAGAGGGTGGTGAGGGAAAATCTTTAATCTCACCATTGAGAATGCTCTTAATACGTAGTATAAACTTTTGATTTGTTCGCCAACAAAGTGAAGATTAACAGTTCTAAGAGGCAAGTTTTGAGCTATTCATGGATGGATTTTGATGGGGACATCAATTCAATAGACCACTATCAACTGATGGTGCCCTATATGTCGAGGATGAGGCATAGACCAAACATGTAGAAACTGGCATTTATGTTAGCTAAGTGTCCATGTCCTAAAGATGATTGTGGGGTTAGTGGGTGAAATTCTAGTTTAGTACTGCAGATAAGGGTAAATTGGTCCATAAGTAAATAATGAAAATTTATAGCACCTTCAAAAAAATTTATACAGAAAGAGTAAGGATTTTGCAGATGGTTTGAGAAGGTAGCAGCTGTACATGTTACAACAAGCAATCAAAATTGCATTCTGTGAGGATTACTAGTACGTGTTTTGTGGGTCAAATCTTCTCCTCCTTTCACGCGTGTAGTAAGGAGTTTGATCTATTGTTCTCCTCACATAATCGATGAAGGGTTGTGGAGTCTGAGGGGACCGTTCAGCTTCAGGATCATGGCTTCTACGTTCAGGAGTCTGAGGCGCGGTAACATTTTGGGCAGGGGGAGCAATAGATGAGCGAGTACTTTTAGGTTTGTCAAGGAAAAATATAAAGATGACAACAGATAGTATCAATAATATAAGCCCGGTTACCCCTGCCCATAGTGTTATATCAGAAGTTGATGCCTTTTCCTCGCCTACTTCATAGTTGACATACAGTTCTACTTTTTGTCCTGTTAAATCAGAATCAAATATTAATAAGTTGGACAAAATGCAAAAAATAGAAGAATTGATACTCTCTAGATTATGTGCAAGACATGGAGGCACGTGAAGTCATGAAGACCATAGATATGCTTACCATTGGCTGGAAGAGAAAATGTAAGCTTGTCCTTAAAAGGCTTTGATTTTAGAATTTCAACCTGAATGTAACCAGAAAGGCAGAACAATAACATTATTAACACATTTTAACAGCACATCTTCTACACTATGTTCAGCATTCTTTTATGATGTCAAAACAAATCTTTTAAGTTTCATTGTTATCACTGACATGATATTTCAATCTTGCTAGAATTTTTTTTTTTCTCATCTCCAATTCTCCATTACGTAACAAAACATTGCTTCTATTACCTTATATTGTGCACGCCCGCCAATGCCAGAACCTTCTTTAAACAATGTCCTAACCATCAACAGATCTCGGTTAAACCAGTGGATGCTTACATCTGTTCAAAATATAGACTGGTTCATCAGTACCCATGAAGACATGCAAAACAAAAAAAAAAAACAAAAAAGAAAAAAAAAACACAAAAAATACATGCACACACACATGACATATTGTGCATATATACACATCATAAGATAATTTATGTGAAAAGTTTGAAAAAACTCAAAAAGCTAAGCAGAGCTGTGGAGTTGAAACAAACAAAATTCTTATTATCTCTTTACATTTGTATATAAATAAGTATATAAAACATTGCCAGATTAGAATATTGTGTTGACCCTATTTAAGACTTACGTTTGCATACAATTATCAATGGCAAGGTCACAAGTTGACAACCCGTAACAGATGTAGAATGATTAAAAGAGTAAACCGAATGATTATCTCTCAGATTCAAATATATATCTCTTTGATCTCACAAATGAGAAATACTATGATGACTAGGAAACAACCTCTGGAAGTCGGAATGTATATATAGTACGCCCGAAAACACAACACAAAATGAGCTAGGGCCCAAATGTAAAATTGAAGCCGTCACTCAACTACCTCGTCGCTGCCGCAAGGACCTTGAAGCTGAGTTATACCTCACTAGCTCAAGCTATATCTCGCTAGCTCAAATGAACGCAAGAGTTAAAGCTCACTCGTCTAGAGCTATAGCTCCGCCACTGTAATTCTCCGACGGCCTTCAAACACTAGCTCACTCTCCCACAAGCTATTGCTCAAACCCTTCCGTCCATTGTTCCCCTAAGAGCTACCTAGCGAGCTCTAGCACACCTGCTCGTTTGCGACTATAACATATACAAGGCATTTTTCAACATTATCATTACATCTTCTTTGGAGTTTCTGTTGCAGTGTTGATGAGGCAATTGTAGCATTTGTTGGAGTGTTCATTGTCCCTAAATGTTCTTTCAAATTTAAGAGACTTGTCTCTAAGGAAGTACTTTTTTTTAAAAAAAAAAAAAAAGCTCTTTGGAAGTACTTCTCATAAAACTCAAACTCCTAAAAATTCGAGTAACCATGCTATCGACTTATGTTAAATTAACCCATAAGTGTTTTAGAGTATTCGCATTCTAATACATGTGTTCCCAATACACAATTCGTGTGGGGTAACCTCTTTATGCCTTTAACATGGGAGATTTCTTAGGAAACTATTTGAGGTTCCTTAATCCTTACCTCCATCACGATCCTCCATACCCAATCCACCAAGTTTTAGGCTCAAGGAGGTCCATTATTACATTGCAAACAATTAGCTCTTTGCTAGGAATGCTTAGAATTCCCAAAAAAAAAAAAAAAAAAAAAAAAAAAAAAAAAAAAAAAAAAAAACCTCAAACAGGACAACCGACCCATGGTGTCCCCTATGTCACCACTATACCCACACAAACATTGATACTAGCATTGCAGACCAAATGGTTATATGTACTACGAGGAAGGTTAAGAGGTTAAAGAAGAGAAAGAAATTTTAATCACTCTTTATTTTCCACGTTTCAAACCTACAGGTGTAATTTATCATACATGCCATACACTATAAAATCATCATAGTCCTGATCATAGATGAACAATAATCGCGGTACTGTCACCTTAGCTTAAATTATTTTCTAATTTGGTCCTACCCCACACAAGCACACACAAACAAACATGTAATTTTGATTCACATATAGCATGTGGAATATTTTAAGGCATATGTTCAGGGAAGAGCAACAATTTATTTTATTGTATTTTACTCTTTTCCTCAGCATATGCATATCTCAATAATTTCAGTATTGTTTCCTGGCCTCCACTTTTCGGGTTTCTTTTCCTTATTTCTTTAGCTTTACAGTAGAATTTGTATATTAGAACATTAAAAAATTTCTATCCTCACATATAATAAAAATTCCTTCCACCTAAATATAAAACCCATCTATGATATTCGAAGATGTAAGGAAAAATTACCATTTTTTAAGAAAATAGAAAGAGATACCATTGAACTTCCAAATATACCCCAATTTAAATTGACTTGTAGGAGAAATAAAAAAAATTAAAACAAAAGGAAAAGGAAAATTACCTGTATTGCCCACTACTGTTATGATGCTTCTATTGAAGTTTCGTGTCAAATTTAACTGCAAAGATTCCTGATCTCAAAAAGGTTAGTATTTTTTATCACTTTTGAAGAAAAAGAGTACAGATGCACAAAAAAGGTAGTAAAAAGAAAATTTAGAGGGCACTGCTGAGATTTTTCTTCCTGGGATCACAATGAGCCAGATCAAAAGTTTAAAAACACAGTCCCTGATCTCCTCTATTAGGAAAATAGCTTCTAGATCAAGGGTCAATGGAAAGAGATTAATTTCAATGGTAGGAGAAGGGATAGAAGTGCCTATTTGCAATTGCATGGGTAGCAATGCATACCTTTTAATTTCCTTCACCCATCTTAGATGGAACACTTACCCATTCAGTGCAACATTGCTATTAATCAAGACAAGAAGGCACTGATTTTGGTCCCTATCTTTCTCCTCCATATGCACAAAAAAATATAATAGTTCAACTGACAAAACTAATTACCTTATCCATATCCAATATCGAAAATCCACCAAGAAATAGTGCAGATGCAGAGCTTGACACATCAGCTACATCTCTCAGTTTAGCGAAGATTGAGATGGATATATCTTGTCTCTTATCCTTCAATTTAGGTGCCGTATGCACTAAATGTTCAGGAGAGTAAGGGAAGAAAAGACAATATGTATCACCAGTATCAAGATCCTTCCATGGCTTAGCATGCCTGCAAGAATTTTATTTATTTTATTTTTTTAATTTAAAGAGAAGAATTAACGAATGAGAAATAGAAGCTTTGAAAGTGAAGAAGTCCATCAGGGTGAGGGGATCAGGATCAGGAGCATACCCTATAAAAGTAGGCTCCACTTCACATTCAAAAGGAAGGTCCACATTTTTGCTAGGACCTCCCAATCCATGGTCACTGCAATATTACACATTAGAAAAATCAAAACTACACAGTAGTCATTAGATATTCTAAAGTCATGTGAATGAAATGTTGTAATACAGCAACAAGTTACAAGTACCATAACAAAACCCCAATCTAGGTCTCATGTTCACTTCTACCTAAAGACAAATTTCAATACAGAATTTTTAAAAAATACCTCTATTGAATACAGCTACACAAGTATGACATATCCATAAATGAATATCCTATGTTACTTCCTTATTCTAAAAAGGAAACAGTAAGCACTTTAGTAGAACTTCCAAATTGGAGTTGCCCAAAGAACACCGGATCATATTTCCAGATGTTTGGGAATCCAGTAAGGTATTTTCAGTGTTACAACTCAGTTGCATTTAACTGTATTATCCCTTAAAATATCAGGATTGAAGATTGAACCATAACGTCCATATGCTTTATAAAATCTTACACTCAAGAATAGGCATAGGCAGACAATGATACTCCTGATGTGAAATGGGAGGCAGATACATCCCTAAACTGAGTGTTTCCATATTATGTGTGTTACCCTATACTGCGTGATTTCCTCAATCTAACATTTCAAATAAACACTGAAAAATATTCCAACATTCATACTGCAAGCAAATAATATATTCCCTGAGAAGATATTGTTGCATATATTGACGAATACCCATGATTCACATTGAAACTAAACATTACAAGTAGACATAAAAAACAAACTATCAATCATATCATACCATTACTATTATCATATGTACTTAAGTACACAGCCTTATTTCTACAAAACAGAGAGACTTTTCTGACAGACCCTTACTTGAAAAGCAACTCGATCACTACTTCCTACAAGCAAGAAGAAGAGGACAGCACATTGATACATTTTACTTACCTTTTTTTTTTTAGTTGACACGTATTCCTTTTTATGAAGTTTATTTTTAGTTGACACGTTTTCATTTTAGGTAAGTTTTATACCTTGCATTAACTAGTGTACCCCACTTGCTTTATCATTCTCTCTCATTCTCTCTCCTTTCCTTAATATGTGTGCCTAAATTGAACGCGTCAACTAAATTGAAACGGAGGAAGTATTTAACTAAAACAGTATAACTTACAGTTTTATCCGGTAACGAATCTCACAGTATTTGTTTAAATTGGATGACATACTATCAAATCTAGTCAAGTAAACCAATAGTTATCCCTACCTTTTAAAAATTTTGAGACAACTCTTATGAATAGTGTTTGGACAATTATACCCTTTTAAATGTTTATTTACTTATTTTCCCTCATTAATGTCAATTGCCTCTTTATTTTAACTCTTAAGAATAGTGTACGACATTTATAACTGTATAACCCTAAAAATATTTGTTTACATATATTTCCCTCATTAATGCTTCTTACAACTTAAGTAACCGAAAGAGCTTCTCAGACATGGCGAGCTATGGCGCGCGTTAGCTGCCCTATTTTTATGAAAAACATTTCAACTTTTATCTGCGGCTGTGAGAGAGATAGTGTATCTTTGTCAAGATCAAAGGCTAATTGATCAGCCTAATCAAATGAACATGGGGGAAAAGAGAATCAGAGATCAACTGGTCAAAAGCAGGAGAAAAAAGAGAAATAGCTAGAGATAGTAAAAGGTAAAAATTAAATATTAAAATTTAATAAAAAATAAATTACTACCTCAGTTTTTTTAGTTGACACCTATTTTGTTTTTTTTTTTTTTTTTTTCACGTGGCAATGCACAATTTTAACAATTAATATCTCTAATAATTATAATTTTAAAATTATAAAAAGTGAATTCTAATTAAATTTACATTGAGACAATTGAAACAAGATCCCACATCACTATGTTTTATCGTATCTATAAATCACAAGACCAAGTCAAAATGTGTCAACCCTAAGAAAAAAAAAAAAAAAAAACAGAAGAAGTAATACATTTGCATTGGAGTCTTTGCAGAAAACAGGAGACAATTTCACAAACCTGAATTTCACTGAGAATTTATATCCTCCCGGGGGAATATGAATATTTGTTAAGAAGTCTGTTGGAGTATCAACGTATATGAGATCTCCATTCAGCACTCTTACAGTAGTTTGCAATTCCAAGCTTGAACTTCGAAATGTCACTGTTCACATTATAGATCCATAAATGTGGGTCAAATGAATCTACAGATACTATGTTTACATGCAAAGTCTTCATGCTTAAAATCTTAGGACAGCTTGAAGCATTATGAATCAATAATTACCTGAGACTGTACCCTTCCCAATTGCCACAGCTTTACCTGAAAGTGAGTCCACAGAAACAACACTTTCATCGCCACTCGACCATTGTCCTAGTTCTTGACCATTTAGTCCTAGAAAAGAAACTCAGCAAGGTTGGTTGACAGAGGATCTCAAATCACGAAATAAAATGCAGCACCAAGAAACTATGATCTTCAGTCAGGAAAAAATTCCCTTCAATTATGGTATATTGCCACAATCTAAGAAAATCAGCTAAGAAATCCAGGTTTACATACATAAAAACAAAGTAGTCTGGTCATAGTCAGCACAATGATTTCTACTAAAGTGTACTTGGACGGCGGATTTTTATTTATTTAGTTTTTTTTTTTTTTTTGGGGGGGGGGATAAGAGAAGAGTTTACAGAATACAAAATTGTTTCGACTGAACTAAGAGGAATTAGCCGCTTTTACCTTCTACACTGAAGTTCAAATTGCTTTCAGGGTGAAGAATTGGATCTTGTGGATTGATATGAGCTCCCACAGAAACCTAAACATAGCAAAGACTAATTCACATAAAAATTCCATATAACATAATATTATAAAAATCAAAATACGAAGAGAAGGAAGAAAAAACATCATCTTTAATCTTTTGATTAACACATAAAATTTAGTCATAAAAAAAGGGAAATTATATAAGGTAATCTTGAATTACAGGTCATCTTCCAAAATGACCCCACTCCATAACAATAAATCCCTTCTGGGTACACCCATATTAATGACAAATGGATCTACAAATTGTCTGTCACTTAACATTAAATAATTTTCATGTAAAATGGAGGGTTTCTTATCCAAAACAAGTCCAGCTCCAGTGTATATTCATATGCTAGAACAACGAATCCTAGTTAAACAAAATTGTGCATGTGTTTATTAAGTATAAGATGATACATACTATAGTATTAAAGAACATTTTTATTTTTTACTAGTAACTTTCATAGAGGGATCATTCCCACCCTAGTCAGAAAGCTAAGGAAAAGATCTCTGTTCACGTATCATGGAGAATTTCTTTTCCAAAACACGTCAAACTAAGATCCTTTGTGTGTCTTTGTATGTATATCTTCCCCCAACAGATGACATGCCCTTCCCCTGCATCCTCCTCCCCCCTCCATCCAAATTTATATAATAAGAACATATAAACATCATGAGCATGGAAATTAAACTTTTGATGATATTCTTACTGTTTAAACTTCACTCTTAACTTCTTAAGAATCAAGAAAATGCAAAGATGAGAGACCTGAGATAAACAATTACCATCACATAGTCTGACTTCCGTGGATTTCCACCAAATCTCACACGAACAAGAGCTCTGCCATGTTGCACTGCCTTTGACACAATCAATTTAGAAAAATCATACATAGTAAGATCATTAACCCAAGTCAAGGTACTTTACGAACCAAAAAAAAAAAATACAACAACAACAACAAGCGTTACTTTATGGATAGAGAGAAATGAAGGGAAAGGAAGAGAAGAGAAAAGGAGGGATGCATCATCCTTTTGTTTGGGAATCTAATGTAAGGAGGGAAGGGGAGGGAATTGGAAGAATCTATTTTCCTTCCCTATTAATAAACCAAATCCCTCCATTGTTGGAGAGATTTGGAAGGAAAATGGAAGTTTACCTTCTCCCTCCCCTCACCTCCCTTTCCCTTCCCTCTTTTTCGTTCCCTCCATTTCCCTTCACTATTGTTATCCAAACATAGTGTTAGTCCAAAAATGGTTTGGGGTCTGCTAACATGAATCGTCACAAGGAACCAAAAAAAACAGCATAAAGACAAAAATCCAACTGATGACAAAATGAGTTGAATGTTACAGAGATTGGTCAAGCTAAGAGTATTTAGAATGAAAAATTCTATAATATCACGGCAAGTAACCGAACCTTAATTCTTTGAGAAGGTAAGATAGTAAACATGAATACCTTGACTATAGCACTTCCATTTTTCTGATTAACATTATCAATAGCAACAATGTCCTTAAAGTTAGTCTCAGTGTCAAACACCACAACATCATGAGCTTCAAGAAAGGGATTTCCTGCTCAAAGGAATTTTAAACATCATAAGCTTAAAGAAAGGGATTTCCTGCTCAAAAGGAATTTTAACGTTGCATTATTTGAAAGATATTATCTTATCCATGATTAGCAAGCATGAATCAAAGCGAGATGTAGAATACCCAAATTGTCAAATAAATAAACAGGGAGTTCAAGCTCAGCGCCAACAGCAAGGTGGAATGTTAATTTCCTCGGGAATCTGATTTGAGCAACCTGGATAAGAAAGACAGTATGAACAAGCTAACGATGATTAGTCATGAAAATTTACAAAACAGTCATCAAATAAGCAGACGGTAGTTCAATTGACCAAACCATATGCCACTGACTGTCTATTATAGTACCTCAGCCACCCTCACACAAGAGGCAACCTCAATTCTCCCGGTAGTGAGGTCTTTGGCCTGGATACAAGCAAGATTGTTGCTCTCGGCTGTTGTAATACTATTGCCAGAAATAGAAATAACACCTTCAACGTTTTTTCCAGAACATCCCAATAATGAGTAAGCAACTGTTTGACTCTGATTATCTTTAGTTTTTTGTGATTTTGAATAAGGAGGTAAGAGATCTGATGTGGTATAATGTGGAGGAAGAACCCAAGTAATTGGAATCCCTTGAGCAAGAGGAGGATCAGGCACAACCCTTATGAGTAGGGAAGCGCTGTAAGCCTTTGGATGTAAGTTAAAACCAGGAGACGAGAAGTCACAAGTGAATGTAAGTGCAATTTTGCTTCTCCCACCAGACCTGAGTTCAAGAAAAAAACAGTACATTAAGAAAAATTCAAACTTTTTTAATTGTATTTTACCACCTAAAAACAACCTGGTTTTTGATTTAACCACCAAAAATAATTTTATTTTATTATACTACCTAATTAAAGAAAAGCTATTGATTTTACCAATACGTGCCTGCACCTGGTGGGGAAATCGACTGCAGGGCTCGCATAATAGTTACTTAGTTAGTTTGACCTTTTGAACACCTTTTCCCTTGAATTTTTCCTATGAACTAACCAACTAATTTTATAGACTAATTTTCTTCCAAATTTTGGGAGAGGAATTTAATGTTTGTAGGTTGAAGCAGTTGATTATGGAGGTTAAAGTAAGTTGAGAGTAGCCAATAATGGTGAAATCATGGGAAAAGTGCGAATTGGAGCCCACAACCAGAATCCTCCCCGGACTCAGGGAACAGGAGTTAAAATCAAAAAAAAAAAAAAAAATTATTTATTTAGGTGGTTAAATCTAAAACTGGACTTTTTGAGGTGGTAAAACACAAGTTTTCAAAAAAAAAAAAAAAAAAAAAAACCTTATTAAATTGAAAAAATAATAGAAATTGCATGATTTTTATAAGGGAATTTTTTGTATTTTACCACCCCTAAAAAGCCCACTTTTTTATTCAACCACCTCTTTTTTTTTTTTATTCAACCACCTTAAAAAAGACAAAAAACTAGATTTCACATGAATGCAGACTTCTCAGTGAAGCACAAACATCCAGGTCCTATATGAAAACAGGGTCATTGCACATGAATGCAGATTTGCTCAGGAACTCATGCACAAAATCTGAAGCAGATGATTTCTGTGCTATTTTTTGAAAAAAATTCACGATTACGGCCCAAAATAAAGTATAGTGTCCCACAAGTCCGAATATTAAGGTATATTATGAAGAGTCCAAGTAACATCGCTTTAATCACCACAGTAACCAAACCAAGAATCCTGACAACGTAACCTAGGTTAGTCAAATCAATGTCTATTTAAAAGTCTTAGTCAAACCATCAAATCGAAGCTCTGAGAAAGGCCTAACAAGGTGAATTCAATGAGGCGCAGAAAGGCATAGTGGCTGTCTTAATTTCATCTAACAACCTTTTGATTCTATAAAATTTTGCTTCACTTCGATGGGATGCGCATGTCACACCTGTACTTTAGCCCTAGGCACAAGTTTTATATAATTAGCTTTATTGCAACTTGAGCCTTTTTCAGACGCGGGTTTTACATAATTTTCTTAATCATCACAATTCCTCAATCCGGCAAACTGCTTTGGGTATGCACGTGCTGCATCACAAATTGTCGGGTACCAGTTCAGGGTGGTGCTCAATCTAGTAAACGATGATACGAAAATCACAAACATCAATCATGCGGGACCCTAGCAGCAAACAAAACTATCTTTTAATACAGTGCCTTTGTTCAAGCTGTTAAACTATGGGTCCTAATAAGTTGACAACTTGACACACAAGAAAAGCTCGTGTAGCCAAATCTCTCTACAAATTTATGCTATATATCTCTCTTTAAGTTCCACAATGCTAGCCAGGAAGTCTCTAAAAAGAAATTTGTCATTAGTGAGTTAAGTTGACAGTTTACAACAAACCTGCCAATGAGTAATTTTTGTACCCAAACCCACAAGGATTTCCTGCACTTTCTATAGTTGAGAACAGAATGAGCAGAGCTCTTTATTTGTTTTTCTTGTTTCCATGTAATTGTTTACTTTCATCTATCTGTTTTACTAACTGATTTTTCCCCACCCAATTGAGAGTAGGATAACAAAATTATAAAAAATAAAATAAAAAAACATACCTTCCAGTTAGAATCTTTATAAAATTGATTTCCTCCTCATACCCATAGCTGCTAAGCTCCAAATTTGGCCGTTTGTAGTTGAAATCACTCGTATGCTCGGCATGGTGGAAATCCAGTACCTAGTTATGAGTATCAGATCCATTTAGCACAGGAATTAGCATGAACTTATCAGTCAAGCACAATATAAAGGTGGTTATTTTCAAGAATCGCAAATAATCTAACCTTTTTGTTGTCAGTAGTCCACTTGTAATTCTTGCAAAGCTCGTAAAATGAAAACAAGTCTCCCTAAATAAGTCAAGAATATCAGTAAAATTTAGAAAGAAAGGACAATAAACATATAGACATATATTTGACTTCTCTTGCCTCAACTAAGACAGGAAAAATAGGCATCTCACGTCCAACAGCCAGTTGCTGACTCTGTACATTCAAAATTGCTGCAGATGGAATCCCTACTCTGACTATACCATGTGCTTGACAAAGGACTGTTCTTCCACTTCCATAAAAGGTAGCAACTATGGTCTGGCAAGGTGAAAAAAAAAAAAGAAGGTAGTAAAAACAGTATAAATACATCAGTTTGACAGCAATTCATGCACTTTGATACAAGAAGAAAACAAGAGAAACAGCTGAAAAGGGACAGTCATTCTCTTACAGCATTTCCCAGTGCTATTGTATATAGTTGTCCCACAGAAGCATGAACTGCCACAGTATTATCATTCATACTTGCATACTCAATGAAGACACCAATCCTTGGTCCTCCCTTCACAGTAAGCTAAAGAAGATGTTAGAAGCATGTCATGAAGATGGAACGAAAACAAATGTCCCTGAAAATATAGTTCAATTTAATATTCTGAATCAATAATATCCCTGCCAAGTAATTTACTTAAGGCAGGACAACACAACTCATTTTGACAATGGTACAGAAAACACCATTTTAATTGGGACTAGAGAAGAAAAGCTGTTATCCCTGCAGCACAATCTTTTCATACACGTAGTACTTTGAAAGTTGCAATTAACTTTCAAAGGATATTCTTTTGAACTGAATTGGGCAAAGTGGAGGCAATATTTCTCTCTTGCACCAAGTATCCAATTTTTACTTAACGAAATGAGCTGGTAGAACCGTAGAATACAAGGGATTAATACAAGCATCATGTTGAAACATTCATTATAAATGGTTGAATATAAATTATAAAAACTACCTAAACTAAATTTAAATTATATATTTCTTGTACATAAGGAGTTCCTTGTACATTACATTATAATTTAACAAAATGAGAATGATACCGTACACCAGTAATTCTCTTATAAGTTAAACAATATAAGGACCTACCCATTCATGACCTTCCTGTATAATGACATTCATTGTACGTAACTAATTAAAAAGATAAAGGTCAAAAACTAGAAAATGATATAATTGAGACATATTGGAAGTGTAGACATGACACACGATTAAGAGACCTACAAAATTTTGTGTCCCAAATATACTGCAAATGTTTATTTACAGATTAAACTCAAAAAGACACAAGTAGAAGGTACTCTCTCTTGCTTAGATCTAACATTTTAATTAGAAAGTTTAAATTGTTGTTTACATATGTATAATATGAGGACAAGATTTTCATATACTTAATATAACAAGTTTCACTACTGTCAGAAATACAAGAGTAACTGTCATTCAGCCTTTTATTACAGCTAAAATATCAATTGCCTAGAGCAAATAGATTATTGAGCAGTTATACTTGATAATATTAGAACATCAGATACTTACCACATAAGATGCACCAGGAACCAAAAATATATCACTGGGGTGTACCAAAGGTGGAGCATAAACTTCAATCGTTATGTTTCCACTGTATATTTCTCTACCTGACTGCTGTCTAGAAGTAACCTGAAATATAATTTTAGCAAAAAGGATTAATTAATAATAACAAACATGGTGGTTGTCCATAGTTCCAAAAATAAAAATAAAAAATAAATAAAAAAAGAAAGCTATTTACTAAGAATAAAATAATAAAAAAATAAAAAAGTTATCAATAATAGAATTATCAATGTATGAATACTTACATAAAGAGATGTTACTCCAGCCGATCTTCCACATATTGTAAAGTTGGAGGTATTAATATATCCATCACCAATAGCTATATTATCACCATCTACAAGGTTGACTATATGGTCCTTGATGAATACTTGAATTTTCATGAAAGCATACTGCCAAAAGCAAAAATGAACTTAGAAGGATAACTTATAGACAAAGGGAAATTGTCATATTTCTATGACTGTATTTAATATGTGCCATTCAACTTAATAAAATATGGATTTCTCACATTTCAAAGTGGGGGAAAGAAAATTATTTGGCACAACAAAAGTAACAACAAAGTTTCATATATATCAAGATATTTTAAACCAATCTTATTCTTTACAAAATTTTAAAGGAAAAGGAGTAAATATTATTGTGCAAATTGTAACCTGGAAAACAGGCTGAAGCCGCTTATTTTCCCCAATAAATTGGTTGATTTAGAATACGATAAAGCACATTGTTATAAATGATAGTTCATAAGCAGATATGAAATTTATATCTTATTCCGGATGTAAAAATGAATTTTTGGAAGACAGCCCCTCATACGTGATACTGGATTCACAATAGCGGAATGAAGAGAGAAATCAAACCTGAGAAGACTCAAATAAGTTCCCGTCATCTGTTCCAGCAAGAAGGTCAATAGAGATTAAGCTTCCCTCCTGCACGTCCCCAAGACAGCTTGTTAATCCATTAAAACTACAATAATCCAAATTCAATATAAACTTACCATCAGGCTTATTCCTTTCTCTGGCATAATCTTGAGCCAGTCCACCTCTGCAACTTTGACCTGATATGTAAGCAAGACAATTTTAAACAAAACCTATGTGACAGTTTTGATTTCAGAGTGCACAGCCAGAATTTGCTTCATTCTACAAGAAAGATGCTTTAAAAGGATACAGAAACTGCAGCTCATTTTAGAGTTTAAAGTTTACATTCTTTGCAGTCTACAGTAACTTATAGTTTGATCACTGACAAATCAATTTGTATGTGGAAAACATCACGGATAATAAAAATTAATCAAAAAAATTTTGCTGGTTAGGAGAGTTACCATTGAAGCAGCTTTAAGTGGAGGAGAAAGCCCTACATCAGTTACATCTACCACTGTAGTTCCCACACCTCTAGGAACTAAAGTCAATGGTGAACACTGTAAACCTGTTGCAGGCTGCATAACTTCCAGAACTCCAGAATCTTTCACATTAACCTCCAGAAAACAACTTCCTCCGATAACTGAAAGATTCATCTGAAATAAACGACATTTAGATCTGCAGCTTGAATGAACATCAGGAATATGAAATTTAACTAGCATGCAATTTAATCTACTTCAAGAAAGTTCTGCTGCAAATTAATGCATTATCAATGCAAATATAGGATAATTAAATAACAAAAGTGGAAACAGAGACGAAAATTCGAAAACAGAAATGCACACTTTCACACTCCTTATTTCTTTGGTAAGTATTTCAACAGGAAGTGGAAAGAACTTTAGGGAACATAGGGGGTAAGAGTTAAATAATTATATATGAATTAGGTGGATGGAGTACTAACTCCTTTTTTTAAATAAAATATGGACTAATAGAGAGAGAGAAAAAACCCCCTCCTTTGCCTAAGCCGAGTTGCATTTTACATAGTAGATGACTTTCCCTATGCATTTTTCAAACTAATTTGCCTCAGTTCCCTTTGTGGAGCTCGTAAAACAGTTTGGATAATTAATTCACTTAGCCCTTAGAACACAGGCAAAACTTTCCTGTATACATTTGAATAATAATAACTGAATAGAACAGCTACCTTTGAATCAGGATTGAAGAAAAGCAAGCTGAATTCAGGAAATACTTGTAGCGCAGAGACAACCTGCATTTTGTGAGATATGTAAAGCTCTTTATAATAGGATTTCCTAATTTTAAATAATGTTTGAATGGAAAACTCTTGTTCTGCACTGTTGCAAAGATAACTTCTTGATGAAATTGTTTTCTCCTCATTTTACAGAAATAATCTATGTTGCAGAACATACCTGAAGACGAACAGCATCTCGAAGAACATTCTCTGAAGCATCAAGTTCTGATAAAGGAGAGCCATTATTGAAATGACTCTTCACCACAGCATGAACAGTGCACTAGAAACCAAATAAAACACACTAAATAAGGATAACAAGCTATGATTTAACACTATAACACCAGTCAAGTATAATCAAGGTAAGTAAAACAAGATAACATTACAGAAACCTAGCAACAGAGGACGCATATACTCCCTGATGATTAACGGTGCAAAACATTCAAAAACAATAAACTATGCATCAGAAGATTCTTTCACTATCTATCGTATTAGGAGTTTAGGGGGGGGGGTTGAAAGAAAAAAACAAAATAAAAACAAAATGAAAAAAAAAAAAAGTGAATATTGAAATCAGATATAGCTAAACAAACGAGTATGTATAGTGTAGTACTCCAACTATTCCTTATCGTTTGCCCCAATTTCCTTTTTAGTCCGTCTCTTTAAGTTTGCACCATACTATTTTTGGGTACAGGGGACCACACCCTTACCACTACATTAACCCCACCAGTTGGGATACACATAAAATTCATAGCCAGCTAAAATATTTCCTAAATCTATGGGAATATGTGTTAAGAGTAGCGTTTAGAACTTGGGATATACATTACTAAAGCAAGTAATTAAAACCTATGTTTTCCATTGATGGGTGTATTTTCCAAACCATGGAAATAGAAGTCACACAAAAATGACCAAGTCCAAAGCAAATTTAAAATATTAATAAAAACATATAACAATACCATCATGCTAAGTTAGAGCTCAGCATAATGAACTTACTTAAACAAGAATTTTAGTAGCAAGCATGATCTAGTTAGAACATGTTATAAAAAATAAAAAATAAATTAAAAAAAAAAATAAAAAAAAGTGTGACGTAGAGGTGATTGCTTTTATTTTATTTTTGTTAACAGAAAATAAATTCAAAAACAAAAGAAGTTGAAAAGAAGAATATTGATGCAAAGGATTATTCTAAATAAAGGTCCCAAAGATAGAGAGATCATTAAAAAGTTACAAACGCATTAACTACATCAAGCATAGAGACCGCACAACAATCATCACCAAGCTTAGCTTTTTCAGCAGTACCTGTCCTGATGCATTCTCCAGACGTAGGTATCTTTCCCAACTGGATACGGACAGTTGAGAATTATAAGCTTCATCCCAAGTTGCCAGCTCCTGACAGTTGTTCAATTCCCATCTTAAGGGGACAGAAGAAGAGTTGGCAAAAGCATTTCCAGAATTACTGATCCCAACTGCTGATAGTCTAATGGTCCGCCCATTTGCCACAGTTTTAGGCATGGAGCGAATGCGACCAGGGTCACGATCAGCTTGAATAGCATATTGTATAATATCCAACTTGTTCACTGAAATAATATGCAAAAACATGAATAGTTGGAAACCCTAACACCAAAATTCTTCACTTTGAATAACTCTTGAGAGTGGATTCTGGGTTTTTACAAAGATTGTATTGGGGAATTCTTCATCATAGTTAATTTTGGAAAGCTTTGGGATCCCTTACACGTGGAGCTTTAAAAGATCAGTTTTAGTTGAGTTATCTATTCTCTTTAATAGAAGATTAGATGTGACGGAAGTTAAATAATTGATGATTGATAGAGCCATACCAAAAAAATAAAAAATAAAAATAAAAAAAAATAAAAAAAACAAAAACACGGAAGTCTTTGAATAATCCTAGGACAGATGAGAATGGAATTTGTTCAAACTATTCTAGACAGAAGAAGCATCTCATAATGTTTCTTAAGGAGTCTATCTTTCACATATTCAACTTGAGTGTGATTGGAAGCACATCATTTATTAAATGAAACAGTTTTGTTAATCTGTTTCGGAACTTAGAGGACTAGTTATTCTCTGCATAATACTATGGATTTTCAACTTTTATCAATTTTCAGGAGTTCGAACAGAAATTGGATAAAGAATTAGGAAACAAACCAGGTTCGTCAGCAAGAACTACAATTGAACTAAGAAAGCTACAATCAAGTCGCAATTTTGCCTCTGCAACCACAGGTTGCAGATGGTCATCTCCAACCAAATTTCCACGTTTGAAAACAAGTGTCTGAACATTAAACAGGAAAGAAGGTAAGATCCCCAATCACCAAGATAAGATAATTTCTGCAGAAAATATTATCTGTAAGGAATAAAGAACAGCTAGACTTACAAAGTTACCAAGCACTTTGCATACAACTGTGTATCCATTTCCTTCTGAATTTTTGACTTCAGAGATAAGGACTCCATCCTTAGGAAGGGAACAAGTTTCATCAAGAACTTCTACAGTTTGAATATAATCAACTTCTTTCTTCCATCTTTCGGGTCCTCCAGCAAGTGCAACATTTAAATGGGATCCAAGGGCTAGATATAAATAATTCAAATTCTCCCATCCATCACGCATTCCTTTTTCCTCCAAATCAAACCAGTAACCACCATACTTATTGCCATCTCCAGCTTGATGTAGAATAAGCGGTAAAAACGATGCAATAGGAGCAGATGCTTTTAACAATATCTGCTTGTTAAAATCAGTGTTTGTATGCATAGAAAAGGCTGCATGTAAAACAGTACGACCAGGACCAGTAGCTCTAAGGTGGGTCCAAGCACAAGTAGGACCTAGTTTAGATCGGTTGCTCTTCATGAGTTCATTCTTCATAGATGGCCCAATAGTAGAATTAACAATTATGAAAATTTCACTTCCAGTTGACCACTTTATGCGTGAACTAAAAGCATCGCAACGGTAAAAAAAACACACCTGCCATCAACAAGAATTCATGAAATCAACCCCTAAAATTTCAGTTAACAAAGAGCTAAATGAAACAAACTTCAATGAGTTTTACCATTTGATGCTTTCATAGACACAGCAGCTTGAAGATGTGACCCAACAACAGTCTCTACCGGATAGTCTGGCAAAATAACCATTGAAGAAGGTAGAGCAACTTCAATGTGCACCTATATCACATAAAAAAGTACAGGATCACAGAATTAAAGAATGAATTCAAAGTAAACAAATGGAGTCCTTTAAGGGGCTTTTCAAAAAGAAAAGTATACAATTTTTGGTACATCAGAAAGCATTAAGTTACTGAAACACATTATGAAATCCAATACCATATACAAAAGCATTAAATTTCATTTATTATGCTAAGAATTTAACAATGACTTCTTGACAACATTTTTCCTTTTCAGAATCAAGTCAAACCACCTTGATCTGATTTGAAGTTACTTTTCAATTGGCCTTTATCATGAAACAATGGAGCTGTAATAATTTGCAATCCTATTTGAGGCTATGGTGCCACCACATTATCCTGATTGATTTTCCCTTTCCTTTTAGAATCTTATTTAAGTGGACAAAAAGGAATGTCACCCGTTTATTCAAAGGAAGGCTAGCATCAATATATCAAGCTCTTAGCTAATTAAAACATCCATGTACAGAGAGATTCAGATACGCTTGAACTACAGATAAATAATTCAAGATCAGATTAATAAATTAATGATGCTCAAGATGAAGGTAGTTTGTTGATTTGTTTTGTCAATGATTTCTCAAATTCAGTCCCTATATTACCTATAAACAGTGGCGGAATCAAAGAGAGGCTGGGGAAAGCAACGGTCCCTCCCTCCCCCCCCCCCCCCAAGTTCAGCCCCTCTCTTACCTATAAATAGTTGTAGAAACATACATTAGTTATAGCTAACTGAGTTAGTATTTAATTATAGGCAAAGATGTCCATGACTATGTTAGAGAATTAGATATGAATATATAATACACCACTAGTAATAAAAGGTGAACAAATTATGGCTCCTCCATTTCTTAAGTAGACTAGTCTATAACAACATTAACTTCCCTATAAGTTACCCAAAATATCAACACCGTATCTTCATATATGACATCCAAAGAGGCCAAGTGATGTAACATAGACAGCCGATTGCTCAACAATTGTACTGAACTCAACCGACAAACTATTTTTTGTCCATTGATACAATTGTTCAAATAAACTATTACAGTACTATTTGGAAACCTTCTGCTAAGCAGCTAAGGTTTACTATCATTTTAGATAGATAAATTTTTCCAATTATAAAAACAAGAGAAACCAGAGGACAAAAAATAAATAAATAAATAAATAAATAATAATAATAATAATAATAATAATAATAATAATAATAAATTTAATAGCGAGCAAACAGTTGTTACCTCATCAAAATTGAGATTATCAAAAATGGAAACAGCTTTAAGAGTGGCTTTACCAAGCCTTTTGGCCTGAACAACACCTGTGGCTGATACAGATAAAATACTATTATCAGAGGATAGCCACCTATAGTCAGCAGGTGAATTTGCACAACCTACAAGACCACCAATAAAAAACATAGTTAGAGAGTCATAAAGTAGTATAACAATGGTGGTAACAAATTGAGCCAGGCAAGATAAGGATACATACCTCCCGCAGCATTTAGCTGTGCTTCCTGATAGATATCTGGTGACCACGGAAGCAGAAGGGGTGACAATGAAGTGTTCCTTCCTTCTCCTTTAACCCTCACTGGGTCACACACCATAACTTCTTGCACAACCTTCAAAACCTATAGCAGAATCCACTTACATTAACACCCTCATACAACAAGATTTTGTGTTAGTTTTAGATACTGTTATTATCAGGGCTCCATCTGTGACTTGATGGTGTATACTATATAGACTAATAAACTAAAGTCTAACGTCAAATGCATGGGAGTTCATTCCACTAATAATTCAAATACTCAAACCTTGGATGATCAATAGAGCAATATGCACAACAATAGAGAAGCTGAGAAGCTGCATCTCTCTCATAAATTTGATAGCTTGCTCACCGGTCATCATGGCAAGCGAATAGTACATATAACCTGCTGCTATTTGTATCACTGAGAAAGCAGCGGTAGACAATTTAATAGGCTCTATGCAGATTATTTTGGAGGCAGCTCTTTATTATGTTTAAAAGAGTTTATGAGAAAGTTCAAAGCTACAGCAGGACTTTCCCATAAATAGGTTCTTAATTAGTCTAGAAAGCTACAATTGCTTGGTAGAAAATGTGCCATCCCAATATTGCTGGAGGATGGAAATCAATTGTTTCAGGTACTTGTAATAAGAATTCTATGATAAAGTTTCTATGGGCTTCTGCACAAGATCAGGACAGGTTACGGATTCGTGCTCATTACATATGAGGCAGAGAATTGTGGAGGTTGCAAAGTTCAAGCAATATGTCCTGGGTCATGTAAGAAAGTTGAGCTGCAGAGAGGTAATTACAGCTAATGATGGTTAAACTTAGATGCAAACTGGTGTGAAATTTGTATGATCTGGGGCTCCGTTATTGTGCAATCAAGTGATCAACAATATAATTATGCGGAAATTATAGACTGGAAACAAAGAAGAACAATAAAGAGCACAAGAAGAATTTTACATGGACATCCTCCTCTTTGCCAGAGGGAATTAAAAACCAGGAACTTTGCACTAGGACTTTAATCAATGTACGAGATGATGATACAAGGGTCTAAAGATCTCCCAACCTAAGCCTAAACACAAATTCTCTCTTATAGTTGTCTAACCTCTCTAATCTGATAATTACACAGAATACACACTGAGTGTTATGTTCTTAAACGGCTTAGTAGGCTATTTATTAGGGTACAATAGTCTCCTAAGTCCTAACCCTAGTAGACCAGCCCCATGTTTCCGGAGATATAGGGAACACGGTCGTGTAGTGTAGTCCTCTTGTGACTTGTTTTAGCGTCAGGGTACACGGTCATGACTCGTGGCCTACACAATCGTGTAACTCAGCCTACACGGGCATGTAGTCTGCTTCCATCCTTAGACAAGCTCCCAACGCCTCAAACTGTCATGCTATCAAATCCCATAATTGTTTCCTTCTCCAAACAATCCTCCTAGTTGAACCATTTCCACAAAACCAACAAAATTTTCCATCAAAAATCTATCATCTGCTAAAGGGGAGATCTGCTAAGATTTTAATGGAAGAGGATAGTTTGAAACAATCAGTTCAGAGGATATATTGGTGATATGAAAACCTTGTTAGATGTGAGCTTGTTTAGTCCTTTTGCACGTGAAGAGACTTCCCTCCAACCATGATTAGGAAGGGCTATTTACTGATGCAGAATAAAGGATTGTTCTGTCTTTTGAGGTTTTATATATCTGTTCTTCTATAATGTTAAAAAAGAAATCAAAATTAATTTATCATCTTCATAGTAAAAAAATAGCCTAGAACAAAATCCCTTTTTCTATAGGTTTGGTAAAAAAATATAATTTCACTTCTCAAAAGAAAATGGATGCATATGCAAATAGTAAATAGTTTAGTGCCAACTGCCAAGGTGGAAGTATTATCACATAAGAGTGACAAATGATTTCAGTGATAGTCAAGATCTTCAATGTAGTATTAGTGAAACATTACCTCTTTTGCTTCAAGATGGTCAGTAGAGTAGGTTAAAGAAGCTGATAACTTTCCAAGTCCTTCTATAGTGGCCACCAAAATTCTTGAATGCTGCTGACCAGACTTGACGGCAACACTTTCTGGTATGGGATAATTTCTCCAGAGCTCCGGCTGATCATAGTTCAATTTCACATCCTCATTCTGCATTCAAGTAATCAAGTGAGAACTCACACAGTTCACATACACCATAAAAAAAATAAAAAAAAAAGGGATTAAAAACAGGAAAATGAGGGTATATGTTCCTGGATATTTGAAATTCATAAGTTTTGTTTTGCAAAACAATATTACACATGATAAATGAAGTATCTAAATCGAACCAACAGCTTACTAATATGTTCATCCAGGGACTCAGGGTATATGCTCTTTGACATGAACTCAGGCACACTAGACTTAAAAAAGTGGAACAGAAAACTGTAGCAAATAATAAATTTCAAGAGATGGAGAATTTGTGAGCTAATTCTGAGAAGAATCGGGTCAAATTTTCCAGGATTGAAAAGATAACTGGTATTACACAAGCTATTAATGTGGTTGGTTTCTAGGGTAGGATTTGCAGCATGCCACTACCCTTCCAACTCTTTAATAGAAATTGATAGGGAAGAGGACCAGGCTTTGGGTTTTTTCAGGTTGCCAATAAAAATATAAATGGTATTTTTGTGTTATCAAAAAAAAGAACAATGAAAAGGGTTTGTGGGAATTCCTTTTTTTTTTTTTTCTGAAATTAATTAATTATAAACAAAAAACATTGAAGTAAGAAGTTTTGTAATAAGTAGTTCTCAATCAGTGGACTATAGCATCCTTTTTTTTTTTCCTCTTATAAGGACTACAGCATTTTTTTTGTCCTACCAGCAGCCTATTCTTTTAAAGCCAAGGTTCAACCAAACGCCACAGAGATATACAGATGTTAAAGTACCTTTGTTAAATAGATTACTCGAGCATCAGGCCCTCGAGAGAAAACCTTTAAATCAATGAAATATTGTCGACCGGAGACGACATACCAACGTGCACTGGGGGGTGTAGGTTTTACTCCCTCAAAAGGGTCACCAGATTCAGATAAAAGCAGCAAGTACAAAGACATATAATCTGGCAGAACAACATTCAGAGATGACATCTGGACATGCCCAGCAACCCTGGTATCCTCCACTATGATACTGGTTTCACCTAGTTTTAATGCATGCACAACACCCATCATAGCATCCACCTGAGCTGTTGAGGTATTCAGTGCAAACCAGCGGTGATATGGAGAGGGCAAAGGCACAACTGCAAGGACAGACGTAAATGCTATGAGCAATTTGAAATAAGTGCTTGCCTGCACATCCAGTTGATACAAAGTATACAACGTTTTAAATAATTTTTCAGCAGGTAAATTTTTTTTTTATTGGGTCTATGGAAAAATATTGTAAGCATCAGTAGACTTTAGTGGAGAATCTAAATATAAAGTTATAATGATTTTTTTGGTTAAGTGGAGCTTAATTATGTAATATCAAATGACTATTGACTATATTGTTAAGTTAATTATGCGAGGTTAAAAAAACAACTTTTGGAAGTAGAGAGTCACAAAATCTCACAATCATGCACTCACTTCATTCGATTAATTTTATTTAAAATTATTTGAGCATAAATTCCTCCTACAGAAGTTATTTGTCCCCTTTTTTTCAATTTGGTAATTTGGGTGGAAAAGCTAAAAGAATAGTAAAACAGTAATGCTAGGCATGTGTGGTGCAGACATATGCCCTTATTTCAAGAATCCAGCAAATAAAGAGGCCGTTATGATTATGATGCTTTTAATTTACCAATTTGTCACCAGACGCCATAGATTTAAATACATGACCCCTATTTTTTACCAAATTGACAGTTTTACCTGAACCAGAGAGAATAAATATTTACGCTTTGTTTGGATAGCAAATAAGGAAAGGAAGGGGAGGGAAATAGGAGGAAGGGAAGGGGAAAGAAAGGGAGGGGAGAGGTGAATTCCAATTTCCCTCCAAATCTCTCCAATTTTGGAGGGATTATGTTTATTAAAGGGAGAGGGAAAATGAATCCCTCCATCTCCTTTCCCTTCCTTCCCCCAATCCTTTACCCAAACAAGAGAGTTTGGCCCCCTCCCTTTCTCTTCCCTTCTTTTCCTTCCCTTTTCTTCTATCCAAACAAAGTGTTAAAGTTCCTCAAAAAAAAATATTAAAGGCAGGCAACAGCTTAATTATAAAGGCTTTTACAACATTTGCATGAAAATATACAAGAACAAGCTAGGGGAAAAAACCTTGAGGAATGTTCCTCCTCATGACTTTAAGACTGTACTGCACTGTGCCACCAACAAGAACAAGAACTGGGGAAGGAGGATCCAATGACATGGCTTCTGCTACAGTCAAAACGATCTTATCTGTCATGTTATCAAATTGTGGCTCAAGCAAATGAACAGAGACAATTTCATGCCCAATGCCAACTCCCTTCACTACAAAAAGATCTGAAAACACTCCCTGCACATAAGATATTGATTAGACAAGCTGCATATACACAATGAATTTAACATTTAACTTCTTATGAAATAGAACATACACTATCTTCAAGCTTTGTCTGAATATTTAAATCACCACAAAAGCCACTGCAGTCACTTAAAGGAGAATCACCCAAAGGGACATGAACAAGGTGATGAGATGACTCGTCAGTTTCAGGCATCAGTTGCCAAATGAACCTCAAACCCACTAATGAAGAGAAGACGTTATCTGCATAACAGTTTAAGAGTGAGCATTATGCCATCAAATGATGCTAATTCATACACAGAGGCCAAACAATACTCATAGCAAAAAATACTTTGAATTACTCAGAAGCTTCTTACTTATGTAAACCATTCGAACTTTTAGTGATCCCACAAGGCCACAAGAAGTCGTGAACAGATAAGATATATCATATAACTGTGATGTTGATACACAATTGCATTGAAGACTATTATTAGGAACTCATGCATAATGGGATCATCACATGTCAGTAATTCAGTATGTCAGAAGCATAAGTGCCACCAAAAATAAACATGTAAAGGGAAATAAAGCACACCTACGGAGCATAACCACTAAAAGAGCAAATACATCAAATTCAGGAGAATATGTCAAGATTATTGTTTTAAATACCTTCTTTGTCAAAAGCACGGACCCGGAGAGTTGCAAGACCATCCAAGTCAAGTTTAACAGAGCTATGGAATATCTGGATCTTGGAGAACATATCAATGTATACCTTACAACGAACTACGGTTCCTGTGCGAACATCAGCAGCATAAACAGCAGTCTCCTTTCTTCCAGTGTAAGGAGCAATTGATCGTAAGCGAGCACTTGTTGAACAATGGTTACTCTCATTGTACTCAGGTACAACAGATAACACATCATGATGATCCCATGACCTGCCAAGCCAAAACATAAAATAAAATGATTACTAACTAAAATTATACTCCTTTTATTCATTTACTTCATTTACTTGCGAACAAGAGATGATTAGGGCTAAGGGCAGCCATTACAAGCAGAAGGAAGGATTCATGGTTTTCTCATTCCCATTATAAGAGAGGCTGACAGAAAGAAGCTTAGTTTGAACACCCCAATAAAAGAATGTAATACCTATACTCAACAAGTCAACAGCCTCAACAACCTCACCTTAGCAACAATTTGTTGATTAACCATCAACATTTCACCAACTATTGTAATGTTGTTGATGTGGTTCCAAGGCATCACATATTCTCCTTCTCACAAGACATATCTTGTAAGCCACATCTCACATCACGTATTTGAAAACGTGCATCAATTCTATCCAAACATGCATTCATTTACTTGATTTCCTCCATAAGTGCTTCAAACAAACTTTGATTCTCCATGTTTAAGTGGATGAGAAAACACACAAAATCAGTCCAAAAATTGATCAAAGTGTGAGGACCAAAACCCAAACAAAACACCTCGAAAATATCTGAAATTTTGTATGATGCTAGCCCTATATGTCTACAATACTCGACCAAAAAATCAGCCAAGAATTCCAAGCCAAGTGTTCGCAGTTTATTTTTTTCTCAACACTGCCAGATTAGGTCGATTTTTGACCAGTTGCAAAAAACGAACCCAGTTTAATAGCTATGTTCTTTGAAAAAATTTCAAATTTTTCAGGTGACAACTAGACAAAATATTAACCAATTTGAAAAAAAGAATCACCTCAAAAGCTTTAGAAACAAAGGAGAACCAAGTCGATCAATATGACCTTCGAAACTGAGTTTTTTGACACAAATTGTCAACCTCGTCCCTCGTCAAACAGCAGCCACACCAATTTGATATGGATTTTAATGGATATAACCTTCAATCGCAGTTGAAAGGTTTGGAATCTTGAGTCTCGGTCAAGAAACACTAAGCAACACGAGCTTAAAACCTAAACTAGGCCAAGAATACACAAGCACAAGCTTACGTAAAACTTTATAAATTTCAAATCAATCAATCATACTTTTTGTTAAACACCATCACGTAATTATAAGCTAAATTATTAGCCTAAAAATTGTGTAGAACAAATTCTAATCTAACTAGGAAACTAACCCTAACTTGTAATGATAATATTTTGCAAATATGTTTAAAGTTCAGCTTATCTTCTACTAACCAAATTAAACTAACAAAAATATCCTAATAAATTCGGTCACCTAATTATGAAATTAAAAAAAAAAAAACATAAAAATAATTAAAATAACATGTGATGCCTTGGAACCACATCAGTTGTTAACATTTTGCATGCTATTTATGGACCTCAGACAAGCTTTCATTCTCCTAAGGAAAATTCTCTAGGACTTTTAACGTTATCCATGGACTTCAATGACCGTAACTCCATAATTTCTCCAGACTAAACTAGATAAGATGCCATGAGAGCAAAGATCACCAAAATAACTATTGTTAGATTTTGATCAATCTCTTCAGTTTAACTTCTTACACATAATTTTTTGGCGTAACCACGTCATGTATCTACATGACAAATTCATTTCATTATGACCATTCTTCTCCTCACAGTATCATGGGAAGAGCTCAGTCAGGCTCACTTCAGTTGGCAATTCAACTTACTTCTCATTAGACACTATTGTCCACCATATTTTATAATTTGTGAAGGGCAGCGCTATAATAGATTAAATTGGGTTGACACCCAATCTGCATAGCACCCGAAATCTAGCTCACATCTCAACTAAATATCCATTTGTCATTCTCACACAAATCTCTTAGATTCTTTCCTCTAACCCTTCAAAATTCAGTGGTAAACCTTAACTTTTTTATTAATTCAAATTTGTAATTATATGGTCTCCATTTTCTAGACAGGGATGGTAAGGAGGGCAACACCAGCCCGTTCATAATTCATTGGCTCAATCTTATTCGATGACATGACATCACATCATGAAGGCAATGCCATAATGAATTGACTCACATCATATAAACGAATAAATGATGACTGGGATTCATTGCAATCTAAAGCCCTTATTTTACCTTAATATCGGAATATTTTTCCCATTAGCAGTCATTGGTAATACTTGTTTGATTGAACCTGTTTCCATTACTTCACCTAGTACTTCAATACCACTTCATTGGTTTTACTTGCATAGATATAGAGGGACATCTCTATTAATGTAACTCTCATATGTTGGTTGTTTGATTTTTTGCCAAAGGTTATGTTGACTTGAAATTGTGAAAGGCCCTTGTGATGGCATGTTTTAGACCTTCTAATGGTGTATTGGAAGATACTCCCTCCATCCATATTAGTTGACACAATTTCCTTATAAGTCCTATATAGTTGACGCACTTCTCTTTCTTTCTAGCAATGTGAGACTTTTGGACCAGCTAGTAAGGAATATTCATGCTTTGGATGTTCAAAGAGTTAGTCATTGTTTAACTATGTAGTTTATTTGATGAAAACAGATAATTGACTAGCATTTAAGCATGGCCTAATTACTTTGGAACTTCATCCCCCCCCCCCCCCCCCCCTCCAAACATCATTTATCCGAAAAGTCAAAAACCCCTCAACTTGATATATCATTGCAGTTCAAACACTACCCCAGATCAATTTATCTTGGTAAATTTAGCAATTACAACCAGTGTGGCTTATTAGCTAAGCTTATTTAACTTTCTTGCTCATTTAGTTATTGTTGTGTCCTAACATATTTGTTACGAATATATCCAATTACAAAACCTAGTAAATTTAATATCACACCCAAGACAGCTAGTAAATTTGAACTACAACACCCGATTTCGCTTTAAATTTCTTTCAACTCTTAAATAGGAGCAGTAGCATCAAAGGGTGAACAATAGATGAACATAGTTCATCAAATTCAACCAATTGCAAACCATTTGAGACCAATGTCACAGCACAAAACAACTAACCAAAATATCATATTTCAGCTAATAATCCAAATAACAACCTACCAAAAAAAAAAAAAACCCACATCAAAAATTGAAGTAAATGAATTAAGTTATAATCAACTAACCACTTGAAGCAGCCATCACTTCCAAGAAGACGATACTCAACAGGATGGGTCATTTTTGGTGGCAAAAGAATGTTAACATCAGCAATGTGGGGCCCAGAAATACACTGAACCCAGAAATTGTTTCCATTAAACAAGATTATAATAGCTAAAATAACGAACAAATTGCTGAAATAAAGCACCATATTCAAAGAAAAATACCCAGAAATCAGCAAAAAGACATTGTCAAAAAGCTTAGTAGAGGGTTTAAAGAAGGAAGAAGAGGGGTTTCAGAAGTGAATAATTCAAGTTAAAAAGATTGTTGAAAGAGAATCTTTTGGGAAAAGGAGATTTATGCATCAATTTTCAGGATGACACATTCAAGCACTACTATATTGTATACGATTTTGCATTTGATTTAATTAACTAATTTCATAAAGTTTCGTTTGTTAAAAATAAAAGAAAATTTTATTTTAATAATTTTAACTTTGGCCACTTCAGCGGAAAACACACCCTAAAATTGAGTTTTTTTTTTTTTTTAATTAAAACAATTCATTAATTAAAAGACATACAGCAACTATAAAAGGATCTAAATTGGTTTTTCCCTACCTTATAAAAAATATAAGATTACTCTTATAAATAGTGTGATGTCAATTATACCTTTTAAAATATGTATTTACACATAAACCTGTAGACACCTGATTGTGTCTCCCCAAAAACCAAACCCAATGATGAGTACCTTTCACATCTTTCATTAACGAGTTCAGTAAAGAGTTGAAGAGTCTCGTGAAATTCCCTTGACCCTATTCCTAACCTTACCTAAAATGTTTTAATCTAAAATCATTTAATTCGTTTCTTTGAACCCAAAATCATTCATTTCGTGTACCTCAAAATCATTCATTTCGTGTCCTAGTCATAAAAACGTCCAAACCAGATTTTTTTGGTCCATAATCCCGGTCCAATTATTGCTTAATTGGATGGGGCTTGAAAAGATCTTTCCAACGATATATTATTGTTGGGTTTCGTAGTGACCCGACGCTACGCGGAAGGAAACCCACCAAGACCCGCCCCTTAATTAAAGCAATTAAACAAGCGTAATAAACTTAATCAAACAAGATTAAGGACAAGAATTATACCTTTGACGCGTGCTTCGCTCCCAAAGAGCTCTTACTTCAAAATCCCGAAAAGACGAGATCTCCGACGGATCGTACCCTCGATCCGACCCGAGCGTCCTAAGTCTTGAAGGTTAGTCAAGACCCGGACAAAATAACTATGAGTTTTACGAATCAAAGTTTACTCTTTTCTTAGAGTTGCCTTTTTAATTCCACTCAAGGTTGTTCATTTCCCAATACCCAAGCTTGGTATTTATAGGGAAATGAACCGTTGCATTTCATTCCCCAACCAATGTGGGAGAATGTTTTTATTTGCTAATTAATTTATTTCTAAAATAAATCAATAAATAAATGCAATCACAATTCGATAAGTGTCAAAGGGAGAGAGAGTATTAGGTGAGGACCATGGAGAGGTGGGGGGACCAATGCCTTGCTCCCCAAGGCTTTCACAAAGCCTTGGTCCCCACTCTCCTCACAAACCGCCTCAACCAAGGCTGCTTGCCAGCTGCCAGCTAGCACGCCAGCTGGCTGTGCCAGCTAGCCCAGCATGCTAGCATAAGCCCAGCAGCAGCGCTGGTGCTTGCTGGTGCGTGCTGGCGCTGGTGCTGGCTGGTGCGTGCTGGCGCTGGTGCTAGCATCCCACGCATCATCGCTGCACCATATGCTCGCATAGCCCAGCATGCGTGCTGCTAGCGAGCCGCGCATGTTGGCCTCTCGCTTCGCACCACACTCGCACATCATGCGCGCCACGCATCAACCTCTCTCGCACGCAATGCCTAGCATGCGTGCTGCTAGCAAGCCACGCATGCTTGGCTTGATGTTTCTAGCTTGCTAGCCCCTCGCATACACTCGCATAGCCACACGCATCAGCCTCGGCCATGCACCATGCACGTACATGCCTCGCCCAAGCACCACGCATCACGCATGCGCCAGTGCCTAGCACTAGCTGTGCTTGGTGCGTGTGGTCCTGCCATGCGCCCAGCATTATGCTTGGGCTGCTACGGCATCAGGCCATCCTAGGGCACGCATGGTGCGCCTAGTGATGCTGCCTGGGCTGCGATGGTGCCCAGCCATCCTAGGGCACGCATGGTGCGCCTAGTGATGTTGCTGGCTTGCGATGGGCTGCGATGGTGCCCAGCATCATGCTAGGGCTGCGATAGCGCCTAGACATGATGCCAGGGTTGTGTTGGCGCGCCTGGTGCTAGCGATAGCCAGCCATGGTGCCTAGCCATCACGCTAAGGCTGCGATAGCGCCTAGGCATGATGCTAGGGCTGCTATGGCGCGCCTAGTGCCTATGATGAGCTAGCCTAGCCTAGCTATGGCTACGCTCATACTTGTCGATTGTGATTTTGTGACGCTCGGTCTCGACGCCCTAGGCTCGATGTCCGACGTTTGTATTCGTAAAACTCTGTCGACTCATTAAATCCTTTCGGATTAATTCGTCGTCTCGGATCGGTGATTCGATTGGGTTCGACCCGAAGGGTTCAGTTAAGATCAAGCTGTAATATCAATTGTACCTCGATATTACTGATCGGAAGCGGCCTCCACCTAGGCATTCCGATCACTTGACCTTACTGAAGAATTAGATCTGTAATAATTCTGAACCCTCTATCGGAAGAATACACTTGTTGGAAGGACACCATTCCTTTCAATTATAAGCTCAAATTCGACTTAAAACAAATAAGTTATGGTCAAAATACTAAACCAAGCCCAAGCCGGACCTAGGTCCACCTTACCTACGACCCAATGATCATGTGAGGGTCTAGATATCTTATTAGGATTCATTAGGAGCATCTAGAATCCTCTAGAAGGTTCAAATTTATCCTTTCTGAAAAGATAAAGATCAAAAGAGTTCGAAACTTAATAAAACTTCTCATATGAAGTCCTTATCCCATTCAAATTAAAAGACGTACAAATATATTTCGTTAACCCAATTCTATTGGAAATCAAACTCCGTACGACTTTTTATCCTTTTGAAATCATCGCGCCACATCAGGAATATCGCACCGCGATAGAATGAACGCGGCGCGAAACACTCCAACGCACCGCGATACATCTGTCGTGCCGCAATAAAACAGTTCTATTCCATTTCAAATTCTAGTCTTTTTAGATCATCCGACTCTCTTTTTTACTTATAAACAGAGGTCGTTTTCCCCATTTTCAAATCAGCTAGAACCATCAATCATAAGCTATAATCACCTAGCTTCAATCATCATCAATTATCCATGTTCTTAGCCTAAACACATCCTTGATACTCTCCCAAATCAGTCACAATACCTCCTTTGCAAGATTCGAATACTCCAAGCCATACTCGACGTTGCCTTCGACCTCAACGTGAAAGGTTGCTAGTTCTGAGGATATGGTCCCAAATTTATATTTCAATTCATATTTGATTTATTTACTTTATTGATTTAATTTTCTTAAAGTTTACTAACGTGTGTATTGTTTACTAACCTTGTTTGTGACTAAACTAACCCTTTCATTGTTATTAAACTAACCTTTTTTATGACTTAATTCTTATACATATGTCTATACAAACTAACTTTTGTCTTAACTTGATTTTTTTACATATGACTTGTATATACTAAACCAAAGGACTTTGCTTAATTAAATTGGTTAATTAATATGAGAACCCATAAAGTCTAAGTATGCTCGACCTAGAAGACCATAGGCTTAAACCTTTGAAAGGATGGATGAAAACAGATTGTGGTGACATGGCGCCATATTTTAACCAGTAGCACAAGACATTGGTTACTAACGCGTCGCGGCAGCCTTGTCGCCTCGCGTTGGAACCAACGCCATGCGATAGTCCCATCATTGTGCGATGGTTCAGTGGTTTCTTTCCGAGTCTACGTGTCGAGTCCCACAGCTACGATTAACCAATTTAATGTCCGTACTTGGTCTTTTCCTGGTCTTGTTTGAGTCAAACCACGTGTCTAGTCACATGGTCATGACACAAGTCTTATAAATATCACTTACACTCACGAGTCTTCACACACTTTGTACATACTTTTTTACACCATGACCATGTTTTAGGTCCATGCATGAGTCGTCCTTTTTGTCATTCGAGTTGAGCGTCCATCCTATTCCCAAATTTTTTCCATATCCTTCCACATTCACATACATTCTTTATACACATATACCCTTCTACATATTTTGCTTCTACATCACCTTCCATATATTATATGCCTTACACTTTCTTTCTTAAACAATCTCCGCATCTACATACTTTCCTTTTTCATCCATATCATTCCCCTCATACACTATGATCTTTCACCATCTATGCATGTTGAATCGAGTTCGAGTCAAGTAATTGACAATAAGTGTCCATGGTTTCCCTTTCTACAACCTTTGATCAAGGAAAACACAAAGCACGAGGCAAGTTCCAATGACAAAAATTTCATGATTCATTTCTTATTTTTGATTTTCCTTTCCCTTAATAAGTCTAGCATAGGCACCCTCTATCTTTTTTACTTGGATTTACTTCATGAGTTTGTTTTTATCTTTTCCATTCTAATAAAATGAGCATTTAGTTCCTTGCATATGATCATTGCATTGCATTTCATTTTCCTTGCATATATATATATATATAGGGTTAGGATCTAGTGAGAACCACCCTCTATGTGAAAACCCATCCTTTATATATGTGAGGGAAAATCTCAGCCATTAGATTGTATTAAATCCATCAGCTGAGATTAATGTAATTTACAACATAGCAAAACCCACCCAAACCCAACATCAAACATAACCTTTTTCTCTCTCCAGAAAAAATTACCCAGCTTATTTCTCTCTCTCCAAAGTTGAAGGAGAAACATCAATGGTAAGTAATTTTGGTAAGTAATTTTCGAATATCATGCCCTTAATTTTGGTTTTTCATTATAATTTTCAAATTGAATTATCTCAATTTAGTATTTTCATCAAAATTTTCAAATTTGATGTTCTAATTATCAAATTTTGGCGTTCTAGAAAATTTCGAATTCGAATGCTCTAATTTTCGTAGTGGGGAGGTCTGGGGTGGCATTTTTAAGGGGTTAGGCAAGGTTGGGGTTGGGCGTTTCGAGATGTGGGATGGCTGAAATGAATCAATTTGGGGTGAGGATAGGTTAGGGTGGGGTGTTTCGACGGTGCGGGTGGCTGGGATAGGCTATTTCAGGGGTGGGAGTGGCTGGGGTTTTGTGTTTCGGTGGTGGAGGGGTGGTAGGGCGGGTTGTTTCAGGGATGGGCATGGCTGGCTCTAGTGTTTCGCGATCGTGGGTGGGAGTGGCTGGTTACAGGGGGAGGGGTAGGTTGCCCTGATAACCTTTTAT